GGGAAGGTTAGAATTAATTCGAAAATACCCAAAAAACAATTATATGGAGTCCGGTCCGGTCCTGGTATCGGGCCTAAAGATCTTTGACCTGAAGCCCGATACTGGTCCACCCCTATCTGGGGGAGGAAGATTTTAGTTGGTATTAGTTTATTCGAGTACGATGTAACGATCCTGATGCTAATGATCTATATACACGATTTTCAATTAAAACTTTCGCCAAGTTGAAACAAATATACATACACCTAAGTAGGAGTATCTTGCTCACATAAGAATAAAAAATACTCCCCTTTATGCATTTAATTTTCATATTGTTTTTGTTCTCTATGAAATAATTTTAAATTAAATCAAATATCAAAGTTTCTAACCGCATACCCAAATTCACAATCACAAAATAATGCATAAATAAAAAGAAACTAGCATCGTGAAATAAAAATATGAAAATATTCAAAATTTCATGTGATGGAAATTGCATAATAACAAGGAGAAGTGGAAGAAGGGGAAGAAAAAAGATGAAAAAATGGAAGAAAATAAAAAATAAAATAAAATGACTCGTATAAGCCAACTAGCCAAGGTCCTTTGACAATTCTGAGTTTTACAAATATACCACATGTTTGGTAGGTATACGTCCTTATCTTGTAGCTTTTGTGCTATTTAAAAAGTTATTAAAAGTTTTTAGTTGTATGTTTAGCATGTCAATTTTTAATAGTCTTAAGAAAATAAAAATAAAATATTTTTTGAGATACTACAGTGAGTAGTATCTAAGAAAAGTCTGTAAGTTTTAGCATTAATCAATCTCAACAGCTTGTATATCAAATAAAACTAAATTAAACCGTCAGCTTTTTATCAAACAACTACTACATTTTTCTTTTATGAACTTTTCGATCACTAAAAGTTAACAATTACTACAAAAATCATAAATATATTTTTTCAATTAGTTGTGTCAAACATACCTATAATAAGACTCTTATTTTCAGGATAAAGATATACGAAGTGTAGTTCTATGATAATAATTTCCTTTTATTATACTTCCTTGTACTATAATTATACTCTTCTCTTCTTTTTTATTTCGATCATGAAAAAAGATCATTTTAAATGGTGTTTTCAGAATTTCAGTTTGTTTTGTATGTGTCTTTCCCCTCGATTTTTTGTCGATTGTACTTGCCTGTTAATAAGATGTTAGTATTGATATCTTCAAAAATTATGAGTTTATGACTGGTTTTCTTTCTCACCAATATAAAAGTCGTTCGTCCCCTCTAAGTCAACATTGTTTGAGACCAATGAGATCACATGGATTGTTTTCATTTTGGTGCCTCAGGGAATTTGGAACAAATTTTACACTTTGCTCCTCATTGGTGGCTGACGAAACTAGAAAGTTTCATAGTTCCTTTTCAAGCATGGTGAAGCCGAGATGCATACCTTCTTTCCCTTACTAATATATGCTCTTGATGAAAAATATGTGAATGCGCTAAGAATAGACATGTGTGGAAAGTTTTATTCTTTGATGTGTGGTGAAACAAAAAATAATAGAATCTTCTTACCGGTAATCAGTAAAATCGGATCATGTTTTATGGTTGGTCAAACCGAACCTTTTTCAAATAGTATGAACAATCACAATTTGGTACAAATAATCTTTATGATCGGAGAGTTGGCGATTTCATTGACTTTGTTTTTTTTGTAACATCAAACGGCGGAAAAGATCATGTCCAGTCGGAGCGACAGGATCCTCCGTCCGACCGCCGCCACTTGAGGCGATTCCCAGTGGAATTTTTTGATGAACTTTTTTGAACATGTTCTTCGTCAAATCTTGTTTATCCAAAAAAAATTAGCTAAAAATTTGATCGGAAAGGTATTCAAATAAAATTTTGAAAATAACTGCGTTTTATATGTTTAATTTGGCGCAGTTATCTTCCAAAAATTATTTGACTACCTTCTCGATCGAATTTTTGAGTGACATTTTTTTGTGGATAAATTAGATTTAATGAGAAACATTTTCAAAAATATTCACCAAAAAATTCCATCAAGAACCACCTCAAACGGCGGTGTCCGGACAGAGGATCATGTCCCTCCGACCGGAGGGTACCATTCCTCCGTCAAACGGTATCATTATGATATTTCAAATCTGATTTTCCAAAAAAAAACATGATTCTCATCTAATAGTCAATAGCTTGCTTTTCTTATAGCCAAATGAGAGTAATGAGTACCAAACCCAGCCACGTCGGTCTGTTAACTTTATAGGGTTTAGGGGAGTTCCCTAATTCTTATCCAACCCAACTAATTATGTGAGATCCACAAAAATCAAGTGTATGTGTCCTATCCACACAGCCGTGATCTCTTAGAGCATCCGCAATGCATACTAATCTAGTCTAGAAAAAACACACCACATCATAAACTTTGACGGTGTGCACTTATTTTGCACTTCATAAAATTAAAATAATTTAGTCTTATTTTGATACATATACTCCGTATTAAAATGTAGAATTATATTGGAGATGGACATCTAGACTTTATGCATCGGAGACTTCTTTCTTATACTAATGTTTAGTCACTTCACTATTTATTACGTAGACTAGATAGCCTTTTAATAATTTGACATGTGACATACTCCCTCCGTCCCCTTTTAAATGTCCCGGAAGAGGGTGGCACGAGTTTTAAGAAAAGTATGTTTGGGTGATTGATATTAATAGATAAAGTAAGAATAAAGTAAGAATGATTTTGAGCCACACAAACTTTACCAAATAAGGTATGAGACAATTAAATAGGGACATCCCAATATGGTAAAATGAGACATTTAAAATGGGACGGAGGGAGTACTTAGTTTAGACTAGAAAAGTCTGCATTGCGGATGCTCTTACTGGGATTCAAAATTCCAAAACCAAACCAATGAGGATGGATTATTAGATTGCATTCACACTTTCTTTTTTGAGAAAGTTTCCGAAATAGGACTAAAACAGTTTAAAAATCTCATAATAGGACTGTCATGTTTTTTATTCCCAAAATAAGAGTAATTACTGTCAAGTTTAGAAAATATTGCCATGTTTGAAGTTTGATACTGCCATAACATGACAATAATTAATCATATTTTAGGAATAAAAACACAATCCTATCTTGGAATTTTCAAACCCTTTTAGTCCTATTTCGAGTAATATTCTCTTTTAAAAACGACTTCATGAATCATGCTTCCTCAATCTTAATCATGCTTCCTCAATCTTAATTTGTAATTCAATAAAGTAAAATATTTAAATTGAAATAAGCCACTTAATTACATGATCCACATGCATGCGTGCCGAATGGGGATGTAACATGTATAACAACATTCACACTGTACTCAGCTCGAACCATCTCATTAAGCAATTGAGTTGTGCTCATGCTCAATACTATATATTTGGCTCATGACTCGTGAGCCAAGATATAAATATATCTGTAATATATGATTTACTTATAGGTTTGAAAATAGAGAATTTATTCTTGACTCAAGCTGAATCTCTAGTTCAAGTATCTTATTCAAACTCACGTGAGACTTATAAAAAGCAACAAGTGTCAAACAATAGTCGAGTTGGAGCCAAAAATATTATGCTTGCACGAGCTTGAGCGCATCTAATGTTCAGTTGCACCCCTAGCCACAATAGTTATGGGTGCACTATTTCAAACTCAGCTATGTTCATCAAAATCAGATCAATACTGTTATGCTAGAGAGCCACTTCTAGCATAACAGTATGTATGCTTTACTTTTGTCAAATTAAGCCTAAATTGGAAAACATTCAAGTGAAAACATCCTAAACGTGACATTCATCAAATTAATAAGGAGTATGAAATACTACGTATAAAACTAATGTTCCCATATGTGTAGCACCATGATTAATTCCTGTCTCGTTAAGAAATACGGAGTATATTACAGGTCTTAATACGTCCATAAAGCTTTAGGTTGGTTTTTAAAGGCCCATATTGAAGAATTGTACGGAGTATGTGTTTTTCCTTTACAGGTGAAAGTTACTCATACTCTGTATTAAACATTATTACCGGGGGAAATCCAATATGTGCACTTCACATTAATTTTTCTCTTATATGGGTAATTTTCTCTAATAATAATCACATAACAGGTCTTTAATCTACTTAACTTCATTTTCACATTAATTTCATCTTTATCTGGGAGAATTGTCAAATAAGCCCTCGAACTTTCATAAAAAAGTGAAAATAAGCCCTTTTATAGGAGGCTCTGTCCAGCCGTCTCCATTTGGGGCAGTTTCCGGTTGAATTTTTTTATGCAATTTTTTGAATATCTTCTTCATTAAGTCTAGTTTATTCATACCAAATTTCATCTAAAAATTCAATTGGGAAGGCAGTCAAATGAATTTTTGAAAATAACTGCGCAGTTAGACAGCACAATACACTTCAAAAAACCATTTGACCGTCTTCTCGATTGAAAATTCGGTATGGGTAAACTAGACTTAATGAAGAAGATGCTAAAAACATTTCATCAAAAAATTCCACCGGAAATCGCTCCAAATGGCGACAGCCGGCGAAAGCCTCCTGTAAAAGGGCTTATTTGCACTTTTTTATGAAAGTTCGAGGGTTTATTTGATAGTTCTCCCTTTTTATCTTTCCATCCTCTAGCTCTTTACGCAAAATGACTCACTAAATTGTCTGTGTTTCTTTATTGTGAAGCAACAGTTAGTCCATGTATTATTCGACGTGATTTTCACTATGGGTCATTCGGAAACAGTCTCTATGTGCTTTAGTACAGGGTAATACTGCGTACATCCGACCCCCTTACCCCACCGATGATGATGATGATCCCTCTAGCTCTTTCTCTTGTTCTAATTAGTCCCGATGATACTATTTTCATGATTATAAATAATACCGTTTAGACCGATTTACCCTCTAAACCAATATTTCACTTACCTATAATTTAGCTTTTAGGCTTTTCAATATGTATACAGTACCTAGAATTTCAACAGTTTTTTTCAAACATTGTTTATATCTTGTCTTGAGCAATAAAACTACTGGCAGTCTTAATCAATCTATATAATCAATTTAAACTTTAAAGTATTCCGTAATTAAGAGTACTACTATGTACCATTTATTTTAGAATTAACTAATATAACTAGGCTCGTCAGTTTTATTAATTTATATCAAGGGAGTCTTGCAGCAATATACTTGATATACCTACTGATGCCACTAGTCATTCAATCTGTACATCATCTTGTACCTCTACTAGAAAGAGCCTACAGGTGGTCACTGGAGCGCGGAATATCAATCCACTGCAATTGCAGCTCCAATTCACCACATTCGACATTCCGCAACCTCAAAACCATGTTTTGGACAACCTTATCATTTTCCAAGACAATGTTGCTTTCCTCCGCAAGGCAGTTCTCCCTGCTTGGTTTGACCTTCATGATTATGGTTCCACTAGGGATGTTTTTGAAGCGCATCCCTACTGCTTCCACATACGGTGAGATGTCGAATTCTGCATCTCCCATTTTGTCATCAAAACTGAACAAATCCTTATCATAGACTTGCTGCAATGGCATGAAATAGATTAGTACTTGATCGAAGAGTTTGTTGAGTTTGAACAAGTGCATGTAATGCAAAAAAAATGGGAGAGAAGAAAGAAATTATACTGTTTGGCCCTAAACAATGTTTTGTTTTTGTCCATGGCTGGTTGGTTTCTGTTGGATGAAAGTTGCACGTTTTTGCTATTAGACCACTATATTAAACATTGTGTTTCATCCTAAAACAGCGATCTAATGGAAGTATAGGACTAGTCCAAGATATTATATACTCTGTATGTTGGTATTTTGATACTCCACCCCAAAATGACCTTGATAATTTGACTCTTAGAGTCAAAATGAGTTTTTGCCACTTTTGGTCCTCCGAGTATTGTGTCAGTGACACTTTTGGTATACGACTTTTAATTTTTCCATTTTTAGTCCTCGACTATTGTTCGTGAGACACTTTTAGTCCTCTACTTTCAAGTTTCCCACATTTATTCCTTTGAGTATTATCAAATTGACACTTTTAGTCCTTCTACTATGATTTTGACACAATAAGTGAAGGACTAAAAATGTCTCTATTGCAATAGTTGAAGTACCAAAAATGTCACTTCTACAAAAGTCGAAGGACTAAATACGGAAATTTTCAAAGACGGATACCAAAAGTGTCTCTCGCACAATAGTCGAGGACTAAAAGTGGAAAAATTAAAATTCGAGTATCAAAAGTGTCCTTCGGGGGACTAAAAGTGGCAAAAACTCGAGTCAAAATTTATTAACCTTGACAACTAAATATTCAGATATGGAGTATTATATTATTTTACATACAACATGAATGCACTCTTTGTTTCCATCATTTGCAATGGAGCCAAAGATTCATTATTTTTTGGCTTGAGATTATGATGGAATAAAGCAAAATGGCTCACTAAACTGTCTGCGCTTCTTTGTTATGAAGCAGTAGTCAGTCCATGCAATTTTGGACGCGATTTTCACTATGGGTCATCCGGAAACAGTCTCTCTGTGCTTTAGTACAGGGGTAAGACTGCGTACATCCGACCCCCCCTTACCCCACCGTAGGTGGGAGCCTTTGCGGCACTGGGGTAAATGAAAATGAAAATGAATGAATGCACTCTTTGCCAATTTCTTTAATATATTTACAGGAAATATTAAATATTTTAGTATTATTAGTATATTAATTTTGAAAAATAATGGTCAAAGAAGATTATGATGGAATAAAGCAAAATGGCTCACGAAACTGTCTGCGTTTCTTTGTTATGGAGCAGCAGTCAGTCAATGCAATTTTGGATGCGGTTTTCACTATGGGTCATCCGGAAACAGTCTCTCTGTGCTTTAGTACAAGGGTAAGACTGCGTACATCCGACCCCTCTTACCCCACCGTAGGTGGGAGCCTTTGCGGTACTGGAGTAAATGAAAATGAAAATGAAAGAAGAATTCTGGAGATTGAAAACTGAAAACCACATTTAAATTCATTTTGGGACACATTTAGCATTTCAATCAGGTGGGATTAATTAACATCCTTAATAAGCTGCAAATTGTAATTGACTGTACCTTTTTATAAAGAAGCCTCCCTAACACCTAACTGACCTAATAATCCCCACCTAGGTGTTAAGACTTGCATAAGACTAAGGCTATTTTCTATGGTTAACTTCTGGCAAGATGCTATGCCATAGCCTGCAGCTTTTTGCAACATTGGACCAGCTCATGTAATGAAACTTCTCAAATCAAGTCAATGAAATCTGTGTTTTTATAGAGTATGAGACTTGTATAAAAAGCATCTTGAAATGAATACACACATCCATGATGTGATTCAGAAAGTTCAATACACAATTCATTAACTAAGCTTCAAAATGTTGCAACAGGAGTGCACACAGCACTATGAGCTAAGTTGTAACTTGTAATACTTGTATAGCATAAGGACTTGATGAGAAATGGTTTTGCCTATTTGCTAAGAGTTAATTGGTTGAAGTAATTGGATCTCCAAAGTTTTTCTGAAAATCGAAAAGCGTTTGATGAAACTGTTCCAACCAAATAAGCAAAAAAAGGATGCTTATTTAATTATGTGGATAATTCGATAAGCCACATAAACCAGTTTAACATTACCAGATGAGGTGTTTGATTCAATATCAAACATTGAAGCAACATTACAAATGATTGTGTTTCGGAAATAAAAAACTATTTCTCCCATCTGCCATAATTGCAAAAATATTTGTTTATAGTAAATTTCACAGAAAATAGGTCTTAGACTCATGCCATAAACAAGAGTGTCACTGTTTTGTACTAAAAATAAACCCATTCAGTCCTTAAAAACAGACCCGACAGTATTTAATAGTAGTACTTCTCTAAGAAATGAATTAGTCCATTTTAAAATAATGAATGTCCTATTTGAAGAGATGTGGTATGTTCTAGTCCAGTAGAAGGAAGTTTCTTGCAAAAATAAGAAGTATGGAACTTAATTGGGCTAGGTATTGGAAGCATGTTCTATCTTGAGTCTCTTAGCATATCTATTTTTATGAGGAAGAGCGAACCGCCACAACAAAAGAGAAGCCAACCTCACCAAATAAGCTATATATGCTCTGCTTAGTAGAAGGCTTTTGCGCTTGAGTGATTCAAAAGGCAACACCTTCAGATTATAAGATAACCACTCAACCAAACCAAGTAGACATCCCTTATGATGTTTCCATAGTACCATTGGTCCAAGACAAAATCATATACAGTACAGATTTTCACACCAAATAAGTTTAAAATTTCCTTTTCCCACCATGGAGTCAAAGATCAGGATCTTACCACTGTTACTGGAATTTTCGGGTCAGAAACAGACAAAGTCAAGTCTTCATTCCATTCAGGGTTGAGGTTCTTCTTCACCACTCTGGTCTTTAGCTTCTGCAAAACCAAAGCATAAAAAAGAAACATTAGCAACTGCACTAGCTAGCACCATGTGAGGTTTCAATTTAGAACCAAATGTACCAAAAAATTCGCAAATCTTTTTAAGGAACATTAGCAGCTGCACTAAATTTCAAGAACCCACAAAAAGAAAATGGAAGCTATGCATGGATTTCCGATCAAAACAAGTCATACTAATTTCTTTATTTAGCTGACGCAATTAATAATTTAAAGAAAAATCAAAGACCTAAATTGTCGTTTGTCGAACACTACACATCGATCTTGCATATTTTCTTATATTCTTGAAATTAACAACCTAGTTTTACCAAGAAACGGCCAACATATGAAACAGAGAATGGCGTTTTAGATTCACCTGTTTGCCCATGCGAACAATAACGTACGGATCGCTACTTCGGACATCTCGAACGGCCAAGTTGACGCCTCTGTGTATGCGAATCCTCAGCAGTCCCAGCATGTTCTCCATAGAAACATCACTTTTCTCCTTCATCTTTGTCAGTGCGATTAATGAACTAATTAATGTTGATTATTATAGTGTGTTTGGTAGGAACCGAAACTTCGAGAGAGAAATGGGAATATGGGATGGTTTCCACCAACGTTGTACCAGGTTAACGATGAATAATGGTGTATAAAACCGCACAGCTTATAAAAAAGTAATTAAGGTTTAAGCCTAACTGTGTGCAGAGTCAATACTAAACCCCCGTTGATCAACTGCAGGCGGGGTCCACGTAGCGAATGAGCCAATTTTCCATACGCGTATCCAAATAATTTCGTACAAAACCAGGGGGGGAATAAACAAATTCATCGCTATTTTTACCGATTGAGCTCAAAATAAACTGGAAATGGAAAATGAGTTGACTCGTGTAGAAAATGTAAAGTTAAAAAGAAAAAGTCATTCGTATAATTATGACGTGTGACAGAAGCAATACATAAACAAAGTCTAGTTTATCCATGACAAATTTCACTGTATAACTGCATGTTTGCACAGTTATCTTCAAAATTCATTTGACTTCCTTCTCGATTGAATTTTTAGCTTAAATTTGATATGAGTAAATTAGAATTAATGAAGAAGATGCTCAAGGAATTTCATCATAAAATTCCACCGGAAACCGCCCCAAAAGGCGACGGCCGAACAGAACCTCCTATAAAAGGACTTATTTGCATTTTTTATGAAAGTTTGAGAGTTTATTTTATAGTTCTCCCGGAGTTGAAAAAAGTCATTCGTATAATTATGACGTGTGTCAGAAGCAATACATGATAAATAAAGTAATAAACGCTACTTTTACCTCATACTTTGCCTAGTTTGACATAAAATAAGACTACAATGGAAAAGTCAAAACAAAAACTTATTCTACGTAAAGATATGTATGGGCCATGGACGAATGTTGTAGTTAATACAAGTAAGAAATTGATTTTAAAAATATTTAATTTGCATCCTAACATATAGAAGTATCTGAAAATCTTAAATTAGAAACGAAACCTTGCAAAATTCGAAATCTAGCTAATAATAAATTTGAGCCATTTTACTTTATTATTTACTACACATTGGAAATATTTCTTGAATAGAATCAAAACATAGATAACATGCACAAATAGAACAATATTAATTATTTTCTTTTTAACATAAAATTCATTAACCCGATCAGTCTATTCAATCAGGAAGTTTATTTATGCTTTTAATAGATCAAATGACTCTAATTTTAAAAAATAAAGCATTACTAATCATATTTATACACTTTATCTGCATTTTCGCTCGAATTTGGAGCAATTTCTTATACTACCAGTCAAAAAGATAATTTTCAGTTGAGCCCCAGCAACGTTCTTATCCAACGTACGGTCACGTTACGTTGGATAAGCACCAAAGTTCGGCCTTGTGCGGAGTATCTCAAGAAGTCAACATGGGAAGTAATGACTTTTCTATTAATTAAAAAGAATGACAAGTTTAATGACTTTTCTATTAATTAAAGAATTGCAGAAAATGTGGTTTGAAATGTTCAAAGAAAATGTTCAAGTTGGGGCGGTAATCATTGTTTGGTTTAAGCAATTCATTACACCTATATGACATGTTTGAGCTAATTAATAGTCATTTTCTTTGTCATAATAATTAATAAAGATCCATTTGCACCCACAAAATCGAAAGAGTCATAATACATCCAAATAAAATTTGTTAAGGAATACGGAGTACTAATCTTTATTGATATGGAAACTAATTTATATGCGAATTAGTTCACTTATTAATTTGACACCTATTAATGAATTAGTAAGTTTCAAATAAGTAAATAATTAAAAATGAAATTAAAAATTATAACCAACATAAAGTATATGTATGTTCACAAGTAAATAGGTTTAGCTTAGCTAAATAAGTAAATTTTTTTGGTTGTTTCTTTATTTTACACCTAAAATTCAAATATGTCTTCACTTTTGAAAAAGATTCCTAATCCAAATTAGAAAATCTTTATAGGTTTACGAATTCCTACTTTTATTTTAATAGAATGTTTTTAATTGGATTGATTTCAGTTCCAGATTAAATCAGATCAGATCAAACTTTAATAATTATAACAATAAGTCACATAAAAACAGACATCTAATAGACCATATTAATTCATACCAAATCAAACCCGAAATTTTAATTCACTTATCATACTTCATTTCAAAAATGGAGTATGATAAGTGAATATAAAAAAGCATAAATCCATACAACAAATATTCAAAGAAAAAGAAAATTAAAATATAAAAAAATCAACATCATCCATTAGAATTTACTACGTAATAATAATTAGTGATGTTAGTAACAGAGTGAAATATTGAACTTATTTGTTAGAGTTTTGAAAATTTCCCTTAATTAAAGAGAACTTATAGTAATAATGACTTGTGATTTTATTTTCTTATCATGTACGTAGTATTAAAACCATTAATTCATGTCTTCTAAATTCTCTGTATAATGCCACATATATAAATTTTACATGACTAAAATACGTCTAGGTAGGAATATTTTATCTTTTTGCAGTGATAGAGCTTGATATTTATCGATTGTCATAACATTGGTGATAATTATAGCAAAATGTCTTCTCAGAAGTTTAAAAGGTCATGAGAGAAAAAATATGAGATGAAATTCTCTCGATCAATTATTAATTTGTTTATCTTATCTTCTTATACCTAAAAGCATTACATATGAGAGATAAATTATTCCGCTCAATTATTCGTATTCACATTTTATCTTACCTTCTTATATACTTAGTCATTATGTATGAGAGAGAAAATTATCCTGCCCAATCATCTGCACGTTGATCTTTTTATCTTCTTATACTTAAAAACATTACATGTGAGAGAGAAATTATCCCGCTCAATTATTCGTCTGCACATCTTATCTTACCTTCTTATTATACGAAGGTAAGATATGAGAGAGAATTTTACCGCTCAATTATATGAGGTATGAGAGAGAAAATCATCCCGTCCAATCATCTGCACGTTAAGTCGGCTTATCTTCTTATACATAAAACCTCTACATATGAGAGAGAATTTTCTTGCTCAATTGTTTAAGCCGGCTAATTATATACCTATACTTCTCATACCTAATCTTCTTTATTTATTTATACCTAAAAGCACTACGTACGAGATAGAAAATTCTCCCGCTCAATTGTTTTAATCGGCTTATCTTATAATTAAAAACACTATGTTTGAGAGAGAAAATTCATTCACTCAATTTTTAGTCGGCTTATGAGCTTATCTTATAATCAAAACCACTTCTAGTATAGTACATGTGCATACGCACGGGAAAGAGCAGTCGAGCATATAATTTTACCCATGATCTAATTAAATATTAAAATAAAAATAACTTTGTAGGATTCGACATTTTCGAAAAATAGTAGTACAATAATCTAATACCATGAAGTATAACTCATACAATAAATATTCAATGAAGAGTATATTAGAAAAAATTAATTGACAACACTCATTAGAATATGCAACTTATTAATTTTCATGATTAAATTCATTTTCATATTAAATACTATACTAAAAAGGTGAGTACAATAAGTGATTGACATAATTTATTATAGGGTCACCAAACAGCACATAATTTTAAATGAAAAATGAGCATATAAGCATTTTTATATATTATATAAGGGCTAGTTTTTATTTATTATAGTCACTAAATGTCAATAAAACATATTTTTATCCATTCTCCTCAAGCCTTCATTGCTTTGGAGAAATGGACACATATGAATTAAATTGAATTAAATTGAATTAAATTTAAAAGTTTTATTTATTAGCATTTTGACATCTTTATAGCAAAAGAGTGAATCATGGAGAAATGGACACATATGAATTAAATTGAATTAAATTTAAAAGTTTTATTTATTAGCATTTGAGCACCCGATGTGGATATCATTTTCATTTGCTAATTTTTTAATTTCGAGTGACATTATAATAGGAAGGAATATGGTTTTTAATACTTTGATAATGAGAGTATAACGTTATATTTTGATTAAAAGTAAGACTATGAGCCCTTTTGGTAACACTGAAATCAGTTGAATTGGCTAATTCCGTAGAAATTTATGAAGTTCTGCATAAAAGGTGAAGCTACGTGGCATAAATAGAGTAATGCTATCTAATCTGGTAAATAGACATCTTACATAATAACTGGGCAAAATGGTATTTTTAATAGCCTAATCCTTTCTTATATGTAAATATATATAATTGTAAACACATAATTATAGAGACCTTTAACAAATATTTTTTTATATATTCAATATTGAACTCATATGAAAGATCATAAAAATATGAATTTTGATATATAGTTTGTAAAAATTTGAGTAAAAATGAAAAAGTTATAACACTTTAAAGAAAATTGAGGTTTTTATATACTTATTAAAAGTAAGATAGATGACGTATATTAGTAGGCCAAGTTTTTATATTTTCTATCTCCGTAATTCGTTTTTTGTAAAGCAAATAACAAAAATGCAAAAGATGAAGTCACGTGACATAAGTACATCAATGGTCTCTATCACTTGTAGGTAGACATGCTACATAATAATTCAGAGTAAAACCGTATTTTTAATAGCCTACTACTTTCTTATAAATAAATATAAATACTACTTCCGTCCCAAATTAATGGTCCTAGTTCATGTTCATATTCACTTGGTCAACACAAATTATTCTTAATCATTTACTTTTTATATCAAATTTTTATGAAATTTGATTCAGGTTTTTTGCGACTTGGTAAAACTTTTAAAGTAGTTTCTAAATATGTAAATTTTATTTGCTACAAATAATTTGAGTGCGAACAGAAATTCATTTGCTTTATCGTCGATCAAGTCCTGTAAACCTCAACAGGACCATCAAATTGGGACGGAGGGAGTATAATTTTATTTTATACATAATTATAGAGACCGTTCAAAAATTATATTTTTATTTGTTCAATATTGATCTCAAATGAAAGATCTCAAAAAATTATGAATTTTGATATATTTTTTATAAAAATTGGAGCAAGAATGAAAAAGTTATAACACTTTAAATAAAATAGGGTTTTTTTATAGTTTGGGCCCCACCAAATGCATGTCTCCAGCCAACCCTCGCTAAGCCAACCCTTGCTTTCCTTAGGTGTTCAAGAATACATTTGGAGTGAAAAAAACCACTTGCCATTCTTGTAGTAAATGAGCAAATTAAG